GCCCAGTTTTCAAGTTGGTCCAAATTGGGGTCCAAAATTAAACTTTGTTTGATTTCAACAAAAATTGAATATATCGGGTTCTTTGATATGCTGAATCTTACCATGTATTTAGATTTTTTATTTGTGGGCCCGCTATCAAATTGGTTCATATTGAGGTCAAAAGGGTCCAAAATTAAACTTTGTTAACTTTGTTTGATTTCATCAAAAATGGAATTATTGGGGTTCTTTGATATGCCAAATCTAACCGTGTATTTAGATTTTTAATTTTGGGTCCTGTTTTTTAAATTGGTCTACATTAAGGTCCAAAGGGTCCAAAATTAAACTTAGTTTGATTTTAACAAAAATTGAATTTTTGGGGTTCTTTGATATGCTGTATCTAAACATGTGTTTAGATTTTTGATTACGGGACAAGTTGGTCCAAGTTGGGGTCCAAAATTAAACTTTGTTTGATTTCAACAAAAATTGAATATATGGGGTTCTTTGATATGCTGAATCTAAACATGTATTTAGATTTTAGATTTTTGGCCCAGTTTTCAAGTTGGTCCAAATTGGGGTCCAAAATTAAACTTTGTTTGATTTCAACAAAAATTGAATATATGGGGTTCTTTCATATGCTGAATCTTACCATGTATTTAGATTTTTTATTTGTGGGCCCGCTATCAAATTGGTTCATATTGAGGTCAAAAGGGTCCAAAATTAAACTTTGTTTGATTTCATCAAACATTGAATTATTGGGGTTCTTTGATATGCCAAATCTAACTGTGTTTTTAGATTTTTAATTTTGGGTCCCGTTTTTTAAATTTGTCTACATTAAGGTCCAAAGGGTCCAAAATTAAACTTAGTTTGATTTTAACAAAAATTGAATTCTTCGGGTACTTTGATATGCTGAATCTAAACATGTGTTTAGATTTTTGATTATGGGACCAGTTTTCAAGTTTGTCCAAGTTGGGGTCCAAAATTAAACTTTGTTTGATTTCAACAAAAATTGAATATATGGGGTTCTTTGATATGCTGAATCTAACCATGTATTTTGATTTTGGACATTGGACCATAATAGGTAAATTAAAAAAATTGAAGTTCTTAGACCACATTCTTTCTGTGTCAGAAACCTATGCTGTGTCAAATATTTAATCACAATCCAAGTTCAGAGCTGTATCAAGCTTGAATGTTGTGTCCATACTTGCCCCAACTGTTCAGGGTTCGACCTCTGCGGTCGTATCAAGCTGCGCCCAGCGAAGCATTTTATTACCAGTATTATAAGAGAAAGGAGAATTTCTTTTTATGCCCCCGCCGTAGGCGACAAGGGTATTAAGTGTTAACCTTGACCTACTGTCTTTCTGTCTTTCCATCTTTCTGTTCATCCTATTTTTGTTGCAAAGCTTGAGCCGGGGCATTCGTGTCCGAAATATTTTCTTTTATTTGACTTTATGTTAGTTCATAGACCAAACAAGGAAAGATATGAGGCTACTTTTTTGTGCCTTTTATTGATCATTTCAAAAATATTTCTTCATTTGATTACCGATTTCCTTTAAGAAAGGAGGATATTTGAATATAAGAATTTTCTAAGGAAAACTGTCATGTCTGCATACTTTCTCATGTGTATGTGTTACAGTAAAAAAGTCTGGAAGCTAGAAAAGTGAAAAAGGCGCAAACCAACTTAATTTGATAATATCACCATTTCAACATTGCTAATCATATTTTGACTTGAAAATATCTGTAATGAAAAAGAAAGATTCATTATTGCTTGCTCATTATTGTGAAAAAAAAGAAGGCTTTTATGAGAAAACTGCCTACAGTATTGAATGATATGATGAAAGTCGAAAGACAGTTTGCATGTGGAAAGATCATCATGAAGCTATTTCTTCAGAATGTTGAATGTTGAATGTTCAAATCTTTCAGACATGTTAGTAAATTATTGTACACCTTAATTAACTTTGGCATTTTCTAATGAATTTGTTTTGGGCCAAAATTTTTTATTTTTAACAATATTGAAGTTGTTAGCTTGACTGTCATAGTATGGAATTTTTTTTAAAGATGCCTTTGAAATATGAAAATTACTGAAAATAGTATTACTTTAAATTGAAGACCTTTTTACATATACATCATTTCTGCCAAAATTTTGTTTGTTTGTTTTCCCTGTTGACCCATGACCTGACAAAATAAACAGCAATTAGTGAGAGAATCTGATGAGGGTGTTAATGATACTAGTTTGTCAGTGTGCTGTCATCAGTTGAATCTGGTTTCCTGTCAAAGAGTTTGATTTATGCCTTTTCTCTCTTTTATGTTCATCACTTGAATTGGATTGAAATCTTCAGGGAAATTTGTCCAAAGTCTTGGCAGTGTTGTTAGCAAAGTTAATTTGTTGTTTTATAAAGATTTCAGTATTTGAAAGAATTACTTGTCACTTGTGAAAGATAGCAATCATTTAACAGGATTATGTAATGAATGATTTAAAAAAGAATGAGGACATTTATTTTGTCTTTTTTGTGTTGTATTGACAATGAAAAGATCTATTCTTGATGAGCTGGGTTTGAAAAGATGGACTGTTGGTTTTATTTCATACCAAATTCTGTAAGTATTAATAGAGTAAAACTGACGAAAATGTTGAACCGGAAGGTAAAGAAGGCACCAGCAAGCTCAGAAAGTTGGAAACTGTCAATGTATAAGTCTGATTGATTGTCTGTCTGTAAAAGCTTTGTTTCCGTTTCTCAAGGACACGGCCCTTAAATCATAGTATAAAATAAAAGGGCTTTAGCAAAGAAACAGCAGTTTTTGGTTATTATCTTGAATATTATTAATAATAAAGATAAACTGTAAACAGCAGAAATGTTCAGCAAGGTAAGATCTACAAATAAGTTCGTATGATCAAAATTGTCAATTGACCCCTTAAGGAGTTATTGCCCTTTAAGGACAATTTTACACAATTTGTTTATCATGTTTTCTAACTTTAAGAAATCTTCTTCTCTGAAACTACTGAACCAATTCCAACCAAACTTAAGCTGAATGATTCTAAGGGTATCTAGAATAAAGTTTGTGTTTTATTTTCTGTTTCGTAAAAAAACATGGCCACCATGGCTAAAAATAGAACATAGGGGTAAAATGCAATTTTTGGCTTATATCTCAAAAACCAAAGCATTTAAAGCTAATCTGATAATCTAATGAAGGAAATTTTGCAGATTTTGGTTATTATCTAGAATATTATAAATGATAAAGATAAAATGTAAACAGCAAAAATGTTCAGCAAAGTAAGATCTACAAATAAGTTCGTATGACCAAAATTGTGAATTGTCCCCTTAAGGAGTTATTGCCCTTTAAAATCAATTTTTCACAATTTGTTCATTTAGTTTGCTTACTTTTAAAAATCATCTCCTTTGAAACTGCTGAATCAATTTCAGCCAAACTTGGGCTGAATGAGTTCAGAGTATCTAGTATGAATTTTGTATTTTATTTTCTTGTACGTCAAGAAACATAGCCACTATGGCTAAAATGAAACATAGGGGTAAAATGCATTTCTTTGATTTTGAAGATAATATGACAGATACAAAGAACATTTCAATGGAAGTTTTAAGTCATTCATTAATATATATTGAAAAGCAAAAATAATCATTGATGAAAGATTTAAGCAAAAAATTAGAGGTGAGCAATTCAGGCTCTTGAGAGCCTCTTGTTTATTTAAAGATTATTACACAGTTAGCTATAAAACTAATCTTTGTAGTTGCCTTGTTTGAAAAAAGTCTCGTCAGCAGAATTGGTATTGTAATATGACATGTGGCACATGCATGCATTAACTGCTTGAAAAATACTTTTCATCAAAAATGATGCTTAAACATTTTTATCTAGTGATTAATAGCTTATTGTATAATCAAATCATTACAAGTATCAAGAATGTCCAAACTATAGGAGAGATTAATGTAATATGTAGCATTACTTTCTCTGAGAATTACAGAAAATGTTGATGCCAGACAGATTTCCGTTTGACCAGATTTCAAAGTTGACTACTTCTATAGCTATTTGAGTATGTAATTGTGGCCTCTGATTGGAAAATTGAACTGGCTTTAAGGCTGAATGCAGAATAAAGCTTATTTACGCAATGTCTGATTGTTTAAAAGTATGTCTACCACAGAAGGGGAAAATCTTATAAAGACGTCCTTTAATTTAATAAAGCAAGAAAAAGGAGAGGCATCATTGTCTCTTTTGTTTACTCTCTTTAGAGATATTGATTAATGTACAATATTTGAATGGGATATGCTATATATCAGTCATCATAAACCTTAAAATGATCCAAGTTATTAAAACATGCAATTCTTAAATTTTACAAAAACAGATGTGTTAGAGCTTTTGATTTTGCCATTTGATAAAGGACTTTGTGTATTGAATTTTCCTTGAAGTTTGGTATTTTTGTTATTTTACTTTATACATGTTTTGAGGACTGTAATTTGACATTTCATCTGCTTTTTTTGGCTATGGAGACTTGTCTGACTTTCTGGGACTTCTATAATATATATGACTCCCTTGGTTTCTTACATTGTGACTACTTCTGCACAGTTTATAACTGGTGCATGATTTCTGTTTTTTGTTTTAGTATATCCCAAAATGGGATGTATATTGTTGTGTGATAATACTGTATAGTAAGTACTTTTCCCAAATCATCTTGTATTCAATAACTTAGTTTACAAAATAGTTGACATTTTGATGGATGTCAAAAGTGACACAATCCTGGAGACTGCTATCCCTCACAGACAGTGAATGGACACAAAATTCTACATTTTGAACAATAGGTTTTTGCTATGATTGCAAAATTGGATGCATAGAAATTAAAATTCTGTATTATTACTACTATTAGTAATTGGTTTTCCTAATTCTGCACATATTTGTACCATTTTATGATTGTATTATATTTAAGTTAAATGACATATAACCAACAGTAAATCATTCAGTACTTAATTATGTAGATTAAAATGTGTCTTTTTACAATGATTTTATTTTTGGTTCTTTTTCAGACTATGGTTATCAGAAACCAGGGTGTGTACAAACAAACTGTTGAGGTTTGGAATACATTTGGTCATCTGGCAGAAACTTTATATCTTGTGAGTAAAATATTGTTACTTATTTTGTTGGTATAAGTTTGAGATACACTCGTGAGGTCACTAACCGAATATGGTGTATCTAATTTACACCATGGTATTATGGTCAATGCAAAATGATAGATTTCAATAATTTAGGGAGGGGTCTTTCAATAGTTTAACCTTATTTTATGTTAAAGCATGATAAATGTCGGATATTCAATTACATTAATGGAAAATGAGAGAATTCCATAATTTAGGGAGGTGTCTTTCAAAAGTTTGACCATATTTTATGGTTAAGCATGATAATTTATTTGTTTCATGGTGTGAATCATAAAATAGCAGAAATATCTTAAAGTTTAGAAAAAAAGGACCACAATTAATTAACAGATATTCATTATTAGCCAATGATAATGTTGTATTTCTATGTTGTGATGTGATTTCTATGTTAACTTTTTATGTTTGAATCTGCTTTTATTTTATTTTTATTTTTTTTCATCAAACGTCAAAAAGTTATTTGTATAATGTTAGATTTGAAGAAAAAGGATATTTTCCTTTCAATAGGTTGCTATGGAAGATAAGCTGATGAACCAAACATTTACCATACCATCAAATATGACGCAATTTTTACCTGGGCAGTCTGTCATTTTCCTTGTAACCATAGAGATAAGGTCAAGGTTCAATACTTCATTAAAGGTGCAGTTCTATAAAGATCATTATCACTTTGCAACATTAGAAGATTCAAATACCACTGCCTTGTCAATTAATTGTAAGCAAGGCGACATGACAATTGTGTCAACTTATGGCCAAGGGTGCATATTAGCTATCCAATTTGAACATGATTTTACAGAAGAAGGCTCCTTTATTCCAGAAGTTTGTATTAGTAATGAAGAAATAACCCTTCAAAAGAAGTTAGAATCAGCAATCATGATTGTAAATCGTCTTGAAGGAGCTAGGCTTCAATTGGAGAAAATCATTGCAGTCAATCATACAACAAATATAACATTAGATTTAACTGTACCTTCTATCAGTATGACTGTTTCTTGGTTAGTTGTTAATGGAGAAGGAGACTTTGTTACAAATAAATCAAGTTCCCACCCGTATTTGGTTTATAGTTTTCCTGAACCAGGTTTTTATCACATATTTTGTAATGCTAGTAACATTATAAACACTCTACATGCAAGAACAAGCATCCATGTCCAAGAACCAGTCCTAGATTTAAACATTTCTTGTGGAGAGAAACTTGTACTACAGACTGATGAAGTCCTAAACTGCCTTTCTGAGGTCTCACAAGGAACAGATGTTGAATTCAAATGGAGAGTTTTTAGTGACTATAGCAATATTCCTACAACAGTTACTAACAGCAATGTAACTTCACTAGCATCCATTGTTATTACTGAACCAGGCATCTACAATATAAGTGTTTCTGCCAGCAATGATGTGAGTTCCATATCAGTTTATCTGGACAATCTAATTAAAGTTGAAGTCCCACTCACATATGTTATCATACAACAGAGAAAACCAAACATTTTGGGTGAAAAAACTGACCTTAAAATTATCGTCTCAGAAAACAAAAAATGTGATGTTGAATTAGAATTTGACTTTGGACAAGGCAGAATACAGTATAATTACACATATGAACTATCCAATGGTGCTTACTATCTTGATTACATATTTGACAAGGCAGGCATACATAATGTCACTGTATTTGCTTACAATGGTGTTTCTGAAGTGGCCAGTTACGTGGAAGTCATTGTTGAAAATATGATAGAAAATCTGGAGATCATGTTGGACAGAGCACCAACCATTGGGGTACCAGCTATATTTGTTGTGAAAGCTGAAGGTAAATACTTCATGCAGTCTATTTTATTTTGTTTTTTGTATTAATCACTATTTTATGTCTATAATGATATAGAAATAGACAATAGTTTGCCTTAAAATTTTGGAGTTCGACATTTGTAGATGACAAAAAATGCATGCTGTTAATGTTGCAAATTGTTTTCACAGGCTTATATCTACTAGCCATAGACCAATGACTTTTGTGCTTGTCTAGTGTAGAAAAAAATAACTCAGCCTTGTATCCTTGCATGTCCATTATACATTCTTTTCGTGACAGAGCTTTTCAATATTAGAAATAAGCAGTCTGACTTACTTAAAAATGATATGTAAAAACAAATATAAGATAGTCATTTATATCTGTGCTAGAAAGAAAATTTGTCAAACAAGATTTCCTGAGATTTAGGTCAAAATTGGATTCAAGTCTTCAATTCTTATATAAATTTGTAAAATAGATTAAATAATGTGTTTTGAAAAAAGCTTTTGCTGTACAAAAAAAATTTTAAAAAGTGTTATTGATATCTCTTTACAGTAAGTAATCTGAGGGAAAATGTGTTCCTATAATAACAAAGTCAAAGGTCAAGGTAATCTGATATATTGGTATACCAAGGGGGTTCCTCAATTTACAATGACCCAGTTTCATTGGTGTATTAAAAACTAGTGCTAATATGTTTGGACTAATTTTGAAAATCAAAATAAGCATATTTATAGATTCTCATCATTCTGACAGTTGCTTTATTCAAACTCCCAACAATTTTCTGTGTAAATCTCCTGTTTCCTGTTATTCAATTGATATATGAAGACAAACTTTCTTTCAAACTGTGTAGTATAAAGAATAATCAAAAAGTGAATAAATAGGCATTGAATTTAATCTTATGAATGTTTTAACTGGGAAGAATGACCTTCAGTAATATCAGATTAGAATGCAGATGTGTGCTTGTTGCATGATTTGCATATAAAACTTGATTTTTATCCAGATTTTTTTATAGAACAAAGCATCTTGCAGAACAATGTTTATTAATGAAATTAATTGATCATGTAAGATTTACAAAAATATAAATGTATCAGAATTCAGCCCCACAGTGGTTGGCTGCAGTCCAGTAAACATGAGTCATATTGCTTTGATTAAAATCGTCTTTAGAAGGCAGTGTACTTATAGAGATTGGATTCTAGTTGAAGTAAAAATATGTTCCATACCTTCAATGAGGATCATATTTTTTTTGTATGTATAAAAGTAAATTTAAGTATGAATGAATGAATGGAGAGATGGGGGTAGATGTTGAGACAGTAACCTGATAACACAAAAAAACCCAAATGACATCAAAAGGATAAGGTCAGTCACTAGTACGTTTTGGCAATGTTAATGGGATGTGATGGAATACTTTAGTTTTGATGACATTAACTGCTTCGTCTCTAAATCCTGTAAATTCAAAGCAGGCAGTGATGTACAACCCATGACCTTGACTTGTGATAGATGGACTCTCTTCACATATTGGTAAATATGATGGACAAGTCAAGTGATATACTTTCTGAAATAATATGTGTGTAGGTTAACTATTTACCTTTACCAATAAATAACAGCAGTATGCAACATTTTTTGTCCCCCTGCCATGAGTGTTACTGAGGAAATAGTGATAGTCTTTATCTGTTTGTATGTCTGTCAGTCTGTCTGTCTGTCCATCTGTCCATCCAAACTATAGAATTACTAAAAGAATGTTTAACAGAAAGCTTTCATACGTGGTAGAATTATATGTTATCCTGATTAACCATTTATAAGAGAGTTATGGGACTTTGACCATTTATTATAAAAAAAAATCTATTATGACACCTTGTGGATGCAACTCCTCTGAGACTGTTTGACAGAACATTTAAAACTTGGCATGATAGTTTGTCATGTTTAGTTGAAAGTTCTGTTCCATTATTTTGATTTGATAGTTTTTGTAGGAGTGAGGAACTTTGACCATTTTTTCGACTATTGTAGCACAACGACACGTTGTGAATGCTGCTACCATTAGACTATTTGCCTGAAAGCTTTCATACCTGGGTTGTTGTCGTCATGTGTAGTTGACCATACTTTACTATCATTTTGATTTCTGTGGGAGTGACTGACTGTCCTCTGCCTACTGCTGCATACTTGCACCTTGTGACTGTTCCACAATAAATGGAAAGAATTTCATATGGCATAGCAATCTTGGTTTTTATACAACCACAAAAAAATTTGCGGTCGTATATTGGTATCACGTTGTCGTCGGTGTTAGCGTCGTACGAAGACATTTGGTTTCCGTACAATAACTTTAGTATAAGTAAATAGCAATCTATGAAATTTAAACACAAGGTTTAAAACCACAAAAGGAAGGTTGGGATTGATTTTGAGGATTATGGTCCCAACAGTTTAGGAATTAGGGGCCAAAAAGGGGCCCAAATAAGCATTTTTCTAGTTTCTAGATATTAACCTGTGGAACAGTGTATGGATCTCTCTGAAATTATACCACAAATTTCCATACCACAAAGGGATGGTTAGGATTGGCTTTGGGGGTTATGGCTCTAACCGTTTAGGAATTAGGGGCAGAAAAGGGAGGAAAAACAAGGGTTTCCTGGTTAATGGACAATTACTTAAGTATTGGTCTTTGGATCTCTATGAAATAGATATTGGACCATTAAGCATTATATAAGGGATAGCATTCAATTGATTCATGATATTTTACAGTATAAAGAAGAGAACAATATTTTGGGATTTTGATTTTGAGAAAGCTTTGATTCTTTATGTTGGGACTTTTTGCTATTACAATTTTTCATGCTATTAGTATTACAATTTTTTTCATATGCTGAATCTAACTGTGTATTTGGTTGTTGGGCCCATTTTCTAGTTGGTCCAAATTTTGGTCCTAAGGCTATACAATTTGTTTTGTTTGATTTAATAAACATAAAATGAAATTTAAAAGATACTAATTACAATGTTATATTTGAATTACCTCCCTTACATTGCTTTTAAATTATGTAAAGTTGTCAGCTAGTTCTAGTATGAATTATTTTTTAGCTCTTTCTAGAAACATCAAATACTGTGATGGAAGTATATACAAACAAAATATTTTGGGGCGGGGGGGGGGGGGGGGGGGGGGTCAATTTTTCTTCAAGATTTAAAAAATTGTGTGTCACAATTGCTAATTCTTTGTATATCGTCTGAAAACAGATTTACAAAGTATTGCACAACAGCACAGTGTATTGCACAAAAGCAAGAAATATAATATAAATTCAAATCATATAACCAATTCTAAGTTCTTTAACTACAGTTGTTCGGTGTCAGAAACCTATTATGTGTCAAATATTTAATTACAATCCAAATTCAGACCTGTATCAAGCGCAAATATTGTGTCCTTTTTTGCCCCAACTGTTCAGGATTGGACCTCTGCGGTCGTATTCAGCTGCGCTTGGCGAAGCAATTTATTTTTGTGGTAAGATGGTACTTAGAATCTAATAAAATGTCTAAGAATCTATTTCTATTAAATTCACTGAAAAGTAATTTTGTTTACACATTTGTTTTTCATGATATAGATAAAATGTGTGTTTAACAAATAAAACCAAAAAGGAAAAATCAAATAAGGAAAGATAAATTTTGAATCAACATTTGTTATGGGTTTGAACTAAAAGTGACTGGTTTCTCCATTATATTATATTACATTATATTATCATGGCTATTTTGCTGTAGTTAATAGTAGGTAAATATTTTTAGATTGTTACAAGCTACAACAGTTGGTAAAATATAATATCATTATCTTTTATATTTATTTTTGTATATAAAATGGTATGAAATGAAATATTGGAATAAAATTGATAATTTACTGTCGGCTTTGTGATGTTGAGATGTTTTCATTTTCATTTTCTTTAAAATCTGAATTTAGTGCAAAAAGGTCACTGCATCTCTGGCAACCTTTGGCTACCAAATTAACTTTTCTCTTGAGATAAATTTATAAGATATTCTATGTAAGCAGTTTTAGAGTTAATTGACCAATTTTAAGTAATATTCTGTGCAGGATATGCTAGAAGGTTTAGTGAAACTTTTGTACAGGTTGGATAATAGATATATAGATCTTTTATGAGTCATGGTTTAATGGTTAAATAAGACAGGAAAATTGAAGGTTATATCTTGTGTGTAATTGATAAACGGTTTTAGTATAATGGGTCCTCTTAACTTATATGGTGTACAAAATGTAAGATAATCATCTGTGATCGTATATCATGGGCTTTCCATAGGAGTAGGTGTACCAGTGCATGTACTTAGAAATCATTATAATTACTCTCCTATGATGTTGTAACTTGATATAAAAGTTTATTTCTGTAGTAAGAAAATTGAAAGGTAGGATAATTTGTTTATCAATGAATTAAGTTTTTGTGTTTTGTGAACTCTGAAATTCTTCAGTCATGCATTGGACAGAGAGTTCATTATTAATAATTTGTTCACATATAAAGAGTTAAGGAAATGTGATAGATGAATTGTTGTTTTTTTCTACAAGGACAGTCATGATAGAAACACATACTGTGCGGGTTATTTGAAATCCAAGTTTGGTTTATAATAACTCATTCTTCAATACTATCACTAAAGTACAACCAGATTGTCAAATTACAGCTGCAGTCCTATCATTTGCGCCAAATTTTATTTTTTTAAGGTATAAATTGCACCAGAATAAAGAATAATTTCATTTGTGCCAAATTACCTGTATGCATATTTATCAAATTTTCTATAGCAAATAATGTTACCTTTAATACAATACTTTATGGAGTAAATGAGACTGTTGTTGTATACTGAAAAGCGGAAATTTATATGAAGGTGTTGTCACCATGTCCGTCTGTCTTGTATACTGAAGAGCGGAAATTTATATGAAGGTGTTGTCACCATGTCCGTCTGTCTTGTATACTGAAGAGCGGAAATTTATATGAAGGTGTTGTCACCATGTCCGTCTGTCTTGTATACTGAAGAGCGGAAATTTATACTGAAGAGCGGAAATTTATATGAAGGTGTTGTCACCATGTCCGTCTGTCTGTGCATAAAATTTTGGAATACAACTTTGCACTAATTGTTTAATGGATTCTGATGAAATTTCACAAACCAAGTGTACTATATGAAGATATGTATAAAGTAAAATAATTCTGATCAGAAGTTACAGAGAAATGATTGAATTTGAATCTACGTAAGGGTGTCAGTCTTTGAGTTCACTAATAGTAAAAATGATAAAATATGTCAAAGAAAATGGAACAGTCATAAAGCTGTTATAAAGCATAAAGATGAAATAACCTAGAGAGGGCATTTTGTGTACATTTAAATGAACTTGCTTCGAGGTTACTTTGAGGACAATCGTAAAAGGGAAATCCAGGATAAAACAACTTTATCAATTCCTGTGATATTTGATGTTATATAAGATTTACATCAGAAGCCAATAAATGATAGAAAGACTCATTAAACTGTAACATGAAAAGAAATCCAATCCTTTGTAGATTCCATTCTGTTTGAACAGCTGATAATTCAGGAAAAAAAATCAGTGCTCAAAGTACTCCATAGTGAGGAATGCTTGCTATTCACGTTTCTAGTCCTGTGAAATTTCTAACAGTAACATCTTCCATATATTGTCATGATTCTGTAAACAATTTTGCTAATGTTTTTTTTTCAATTTGTTTTTCTTTAATAGCTGTTAAACATGTTGTCATCAAATATCTGCAGTTCATTTCCTATCTTTATACTGTCAGATGCCATTTAAATGTTCAGTTTAGAGCATTCTCCATTGTGCATATTCTTGGCATTTGAGTTTTTGTTCTATTTTTCTACATTTTTCTGCTCCATTTATAGCTCTCTACTTTTTCTTTTCATTATTTCTTTCACCCAGAGCAACACACATTGTGTCATCAAATTTAACAAGCTTTGTACTCCATGCAGTGCTTAATTTCTAAAAATTGTCCTGATGGCACCTGCCTGGTAGGCGAAACAAGTCGACCAGCATTTTTATTTTTTTAATGAAATTGCTGTCTAGTGGAGTGCTGTTGTCAAATTGGTACTTTATAAATGTGCATATCTTCTTTCTGATGTTTGGTATATGTATTTCCTTTCACCCAAAAGCAAGAGTGGCGGTATAGATTAGTGAACATTGTGCTCACACTACTTCTTGTATTTGTTGGTTTGGTTAACAGTCTGGCTGATGTCAAGATGAATTGATACCTGCTCTTTACTGTCTTTTGTAAGAGGGTTGGAGTCATCCTTCATCTTAAATGAGGAGAGAAACTTGACTATCAGTGATCTTTAGATTTCCTTTATGTTTTATTTCTCACTTGTTAAAACCAAAAGCCTGATTTCTTATTATAAAGCAACAGGTGTTTTCTTTTTAGATTTTTTTAGGTTATATGCATTAAAAGTTTAAATGTTACACATATTTCACAAATGATGATGTGTGTTAATTGCTAAATCAGAAGGTTAAGAAGATAGTTTTTGCAGTGCAGCATGTTTTCCTTCCTTTTCAAGGTTACTAACCTGTGACATTGCACTTTATTTACTTCAGCATGGTAAACACATTAAAAGTTAGAAAACTGTTATTCTCATCAAGTTCCCATCATTAATTCTACAAAGAAAAGATGAGTTTAATGTGTATTAAATTTGTGATAAGCCATGTGTTCAGTCAGATGAGAGTTTAGTTTAAAATACAATTTAAATGTGGTATAGATTTGGAGTTGAATTTTTGTAGGCTAAAGCTTTGGATTCTAGTTATATAGTTTGCAGAGTTTAATATTGTTAAAGAAGAATATGTTGATTTTTACTATTTTTTTGAACTTTTTTATAAATTTACTTATGAAAACAATTAAACATATTGTCGAAGAAAAATCACTATAGAAAAACTTTCTTATATAGATAATTCAGTGGCCTAATGCTTTGCAAGGGCATACATTTGTCTTCAAATTTAGAAATTTGAAAACATTAAAAAAAGTAAATCCATAGTACATTGCATTTTAAACTTTATCAGGGGAGATAACTGCATGTACCATACACCTGTAAGCTACCTCCCTTACTAATTACAAAATCTCTATATTTTAAAAGAAAAAAAATGTTTTAGAAAAAAAGGAGAATATTTGACTAATTTTTTTCATGAAGATTTGCCTCTAAATTACATTTTTGTATTAAAGTATACTAGGATTAAGTACAATGAAATTGATTGATTTACCCTACAACATTATTTTTATACTTTTGCATTATATTTCTTTCTGTTGAAAGTATGAAAATTTATAGCAGTTTAAAAGTTGTAATCTGCTTATAAGTATATATATATTAGATTCATTTTGAGAAGAACTTTTTATACAAGATTTCCTTCCTTTACAGATCAGATCCTAAGCCGAGAGGATCTCATCTTCACATGGGATTTCTCTGATGGAACACACATTGTGTCTAGGAGTCCTGTTGTTTCAAAGAATTTCTCTGCTCCAGGAAACCATGATATCAATTTCACAGCAAAAAATCTAGGTAAGAAATGTTTTCTTATTGATAGTGATACCTTGGGGTTATTAATATATTTTTACTATTCATTGTATTCAACTTTTCTGATTTTAATTTTAGCTCACCTGGCCCAAAGGGCCAAGTGAGCTTTTCTCATCACTTGGCGTCCGTCGTCCTGCGTCCTGCTTCCGTCGTCCGTAAACTTTTACAAAAATCTTCTCCTCTGAAACTACTGGGCCAAACTTGGCCACAATCATTGGGGTATCTAGTTTAAAAAATGTGTCCGGTGACCCGGCCAACCAACCAACATGGCCGCCATGGCTAAAAATAGAACATAGGGGTAAAATGTAGATTTTGGCTTATATCTCTGAAACCAAAGCATTTAGAGCAAATCTGACACGGGGTAAAATTGTTTATCAGGTCAAGATCTATCTGCCCTAAAATTTTCAGATGAATCTGACAACCCGTTGTTGGGTTGCTGCCCCTGAATTGGTAATTTTAAGGAAATATTGCCGTTTTTGGTTATTATCTTGAATATTATTATAGATAGAGATAAACTGTAAACAGCAATAATGTTCAGCAAAGTAAGATCTACAAATAAGTCAACTTGACCAACATGGTCAGTTGACCCCTTAAGGAGTTATTGCCCTTTATAGTCAATTTTTAACCATTTTTTGTAAATTTTTGTAATCTTTTACAAAAATCTTCTTCTCTGAAACTACTAAGACAAATTTAACCAAACTTGTCCACAATCTTCATTAGGGTATCTAGTTTAAAAAATGTGTCCAATGACCCCGCCCGCGAACCAAGATGGCCGACCGGGCTAAAAAATAGTACATAGGGTAAAATGCAGTTTTTGGCTCATATCTCTGAAACCAAAGCATTTAGAGCAAATCTGACAAGGATGGAATTGTTCATTAGGTCAAGATCTGCCCTGAAATTTTCAGACCAATCAGGCAACACGTTGTTGGGTTGCTGCCCCTGAATTGGTAATTTTAAGAAAATTTTGCAGCTTTTGGTTATTATCTTGAATATTATTAATAATAAAGATAAACTGTAAATAGCAATAATGTACAGCAAAGTAAGATCTACTAATAAGTCAACATGACCAAAATAGTCAATTGACCCCTTAAGGAGTTATTGCCCTTTATAGTCAATTTTTTACAATTTTCATAAATTTTGTAAATTTTTGTAAATTTTTACAAAATATTTTCCACTGTAATTACTGGGCCAAGTTCATTATAGATAGAGATAATTGTAAGCAGCAAGAATGTTCAGTAAAGTAAGATCTACAAACACATCACCATCACCAAAACACAATTTTGTCATGAATCCATCTGTGTCCTTTGTTTAATATGCACATAGACCAAGGTGAGCGACACAGGCTCTTTAGAGCCTCTAGTTATTTTTTATATAATTATACATTTGATCTGTAGTTTGATAATGTTGAGTTGTAGTGTGTAAACAAATTTTAGATCTGCTGTGCAGATGCTTCTTGTTTGACCATACTAAGTTTGAAATTTTACACAATCATTGTACATGGAAAAATTTTCATCAAATTTTTCTTTGCTTTTATGGAAGAGAATAATTTAAAATTTGGTCTAAAGGATGAAAATTTTGAGTTGTAGCTTGTAAACAATTTTTGCATCCGCCAGTAAGGTAATGTTAGAATAGTTTCAGAATATTATTTAGTTTGAGTTAAACTTGGCATATGAACATGACAGTGTTGATGCTTTGACCCAAACAGTTCTGTTTTGAAATGTAGTGTCAAAAACTATTTATAAGCAGAGATTTTGTTAAGTATCAATTTAAATTCCTGTATTCTGTTACATATTGCTGTATTAAAAGATCTGTATGAATTTGTTCTCTTCCATTTGCTGATGTCTGGTTTTCATTGTTGAAAGTAATAAGGTAGTGTAATGTAATCACAGAAACCACCATACTATTCTTGGAAGTACATTAGGTGCAGAAACAGACATGCAATATCCTGCTTTAAGATTACTTATAAACCAAGTTAGCAATTATCTTTGTTAATTGATTAAAAAAAACCCGAAAACTTAAACTATGAAACACTAAAAGCAGGAAATGCTATTGTAAACAAAATTAAGATAGTTTTCAAAATTTGAAGCTGATTACATAAAGTTTTATCTTCATAGTTAATTAAAACTCAAGTCTCCTACTACCGTATATGAATCAAAGAACATTGATTATAGGGATTTATATTGTAGAGGTTCTAAATGATCTATTATTCTTTCCATAAACTTGGCAAAAGAAAAAAATTAGTGACATGTCCATCTGCATTTGTGTTATGGGGCATTGTTGCATTCTTGGAGAATAGATCATGGTCTTGTATCCAATTAACTTCTTCACACTTTGTGTAATGCTAGGACAAAAGAGTGAAATGAACCATCACATTCCAAGGTTATGGTCTTTAATTGTATTCAGTCATCATCAAACTTGTATGATGATAGTGTGAATTTGAAGTCTAAGATTAGATGTGAAAGGTCAAAGTCTTTGATTTCATAAATGAATAAATGAAAAAAGATCGTAGGCGCACCAGAGCGAGTTTTCCATTCAATTTTCCCAAAACTTGTATCCATGCTTGGCTATGGAAATAAAGTTAATCATGTTTCAAAGTTAAAGTTGATATAATGTATGATTATGGTGAGACAACAAATGTAGTTCAATTTAAGGGGATCACAGATGAAAGTAATAGGATAGCAATTAGAAAAAGTTATCAGGCAGAATGGAACTGAAACAACCAACAGATTAACCATATTCCTTAATTTTAACAATTTTCAGATTTTATACCATATTAAAGTGATCGGTTGTCCCACTACTGCTCCTGAACTGCTTGCAGAATCTTACTCACATGATGTACTTTTACACCACTTATTTCATATCTTCATTGGAATGATTTCTGGCATTAACTATGGCATGACATTGACTTAGTGGCATCTGCACATCACATTACACATTTGTATCTGCTTCTCCTAAACCATGATCACAATTTATTGGAACTTCTCAGAATTATCACCATATAATACCATTGTGCACCTTCTATTTTGTTTTTGATCAACAATGTTAGGGGGTTTGCTTAAGAAAATCATGGACTTTGCCATTGCTTTTTCTGTAAGTACCAATTTTGTATCCCCCTTAAACCTATTATCAGAGTATATTGAAACTTTCTGAGAATATTTACCCATATAATGTCATTGTTCACCTCTTCAGTATATAATGTGCCATTGGTGAGGCTTAATATAAAAAAAGTCATTATTAAATGTTATAACTAAAACATTAAAAAAAGTTAAAGAGGGAATAATCAATGCTAAATGTATTCCTTAACCCTAGGGATCAACACTTTGTAGAAATCATAAATTGAAGGGAACTATATCTGATAAAAAACACTGATGCAATGAACTTGATATGTGAGATTGGACTGGTTCACTGTTGTGACAAAGATCAACAATAGAATCTGTTCCTTTATTAATTATATTTATTTCATTTTTTGTGTCTAACTTTTTGAGTTTTAAACTAAGGTTGTAAACATTATTTTGAAAGTGAAGTTACCATAGTTTTCATCACATAGATGTTTATAACAGAGGAACTATGGTAACAGATTAATGATCAATATACTTTGCCCAATGTGAAGACTTTTAAAAAAAAGTATAGTGCTTTGTAACATACACTGACATTAATTAGCTGGTACTTTTTAATGCTTGAACAAACATTTGGCTCATAAATTTTATCTAAATGAAGTTAATTAAAGGTTATAAACTTTCTAAAACATAAGTTTAGTGTTGGAGATTGTTTTAAAAAGATTAAGTAGGAGCTGAAAGAGATAAAATATGAAGTTTATTTTCAGTAAGAGATATTTTTGGCTTAAATTAGCTGTACTTGTAAAATGAAATGGGGATTTTATTATGCTTCATGTTTCTTTATTGAAGTTGATGTTTTGACATACACTGTTCTAACTTGGTAAAATTATAGACCTTAGGCATTTAAGACGGCCGGATTGGATTTTTTTACTTATAGATAGATATATACTAGACAGGGAAGATATGCTTTGAATATATAAATCTTTATAGAGATCACATAATCTACATTAAAACCATTTTGCATTTACTTCTGTGATTCACAAAGTTTTTCCATTAACTTTAACCATGAAACAAAGTTTTTATTCAAGGCATTTTTACATACAGTGGAGTTATTGTGTTGCCTGACAGCAAAGTTAAGCCACATATACAAAACACATCTATAGTTGTGCATCCTTTTTCCTGAATACTTGATTTCCTCTTTATAATGACAAATACTGTAAATTCAGAAATTATTGCTAGGTTTTTATTAATGCGAATAATGGGACTGTGTGAGTATCGCAATAATAAGAACTGGCATTCTGATATCTGATGCATATATCTGTATGCAGCTTTTCCTGAAATCGCATTTATGTCCATTCTTCAAAAATCGCAATAATAAATGCATGCAATAATTTCTGAATTTACAGTATTGCAATACAATCTTATAGGGAATATGTATTTTTTTAGAAAACATATCTATATTCATGATTAACATTTGCGAACAAAATCCATAAAAATGAGTACTGGTACTGCATGAATTAAAAGTAGGATCCACTGTGAGTACCTATTACACATGAATTCCTGGAAATTTCAATAGAAACTGACATAATGGAAGAAATAGCAGTCACAACAGGACATTGCACGATTGTATTTAAATTTGTCATTCATTCCATAATGATAGAAGTAATAGAAATTAGGAAGATTGCTGAGTATTGGATCCTTATATCTGTTTAAAAAGACAAACATATAAAGGACATGTAAACAGTCCAATAGTTCAGTGAAGTACCCTTTTGAATAATATCTTTGATGATCAAGAAATAAAAAGCTATAAATTTCATTTCCAGTATCAGAGTATAAAAGATCATTCCAAGAGGATGTATGCAGTGAAATGCCAGTTTCTATGGTCTTACTTCATGACACTATTGTACCAGTAAACCAAGAAATCATGTTTATATTGATGGTAGGTATTACATGTAGCCTCGCATTGTCCGTTTTCGAGCTATTAAGAACACATTGTGACGTCATAATTTCCATTGAAAAACCAAGCATAGTACGAATTCATATGACATACAAAAGCACATGATCTGACCATACTAGTTTGCATTATTCTGTCTGTGTGTCTTTTGTATTGGCAACTTCTTATGAACCAGTTACAGGATTTTAGTGAAGTTTACATAAAGTCTTTGATATATACCTAAGGGCTAGTGCACCTGTTATGTTATCTTGTTGTCAGAATGAATTTAAGGGTTTCTTATTGTAAAGTGATGAGTAGGCATCTTGTATATACAACTCAACCTAATTCTGGAGTGACTGAATCAACTCATTTTATAGAATCTTAAGTATCTAGTAGTATTGTACACCTGTTTATTACTTCTTGAAGGAATGATTTAGGGAATTCCCATGTTTACAAAAGGCAGTAGGCATACTGTAGTTGCAAATTTAACCCTCCCATGACCAGTTTTCTTACACTGTGCCATTGTTCAGTTAATATTTTATTCTTTGGTAGTTAATCATTTATGGGTTTTCCCCAAAACAAAACATGTACTTTAGCATAATTTACATTGCAACCATGGTAGCCAGCTTATACCTTCAGCTCTTCCCTTACCATTGACTGGATTTTAATAACACTTTCATGAAATATTGTTTAGTTAATACATACTTATTTTAAGGGTCTACCATAGAAAAACAAGAACTACATCATATTTATACAAGTCAGATGAGTAGGTATGAATTTGTAAGCTCAGAGTAACTGATTGTTATACGACCGCAAAAAAATTTTGTGGTCGTATATTGTCTATTATTTATTCTGTTGAATAAAAGTTGTTAAATTGTATTTTCAGTGTTGGTCTCTGAAATGGTTCCTATTCAAAAAGTTTCTTTTTGTTTTTATTGCAGGGAAATTATTCCAAGTTGGATACTGTTAATATTGATTATGGGGACCAGAACCAACAAGCTATAGAAAAGGAAGATCCCTTTGAGTAAGTTCATATTTGAGTATACTTCCAAGCTCAATTTTTAGTGTTATGGATTTTCAGTCAGCCTTCTACTGCCACCATATTGTGCTCCCGCTAACCATGCTAATTATTGTGGTGTTTAATTTTTATACGACCGCAAAAATTTTTGCGGTCGTATATTGGTATGACGTTGGCGTCGTCGTCTTGCGTCGTCTGAAGACACATTGGTTTTCGCACTCTAACTTTAGTTTAAGTGAATGGATCTTTATGAAATTTTACCATAAGGTTCAATACCACAAAAGGAAGGTTGGGATTGATTTTGGGGGTTATGGTACCAACAGTTAAGGAATTAGGGGCCAAAAATAAGCATTTTTGTAACTTCCAGACATAACTTGTGTGTTAGTGTATGGATCTCTAAGACATTGTACCACAAGGTTCCATATCACACAGGGAATGCTGGGATTAATTTTGGGGGTAATTGCCTCAAAATATTAGGAATTAGGGGCCAAAAAAGGGGCAAAAAACAAGCATTTTTTTTAGTTTCATGACAATAACTTGTGTGTAAGTGCATGGATCTTTCTGAAATTTTACTACAAGGTTCCATATCATAAAGGGAAAGCTGGAATTGAGTTTGGGGGTAATTGCCCAAAATGTTTAGGAATTAAGGGCCAAAAAGGGGCCAAAAATAAGCATTTTTCTAGTTTCCAGACAATAACTTGTGTTCAAGTGTATGGATCTCTCTGAAATTGTACCACAAGGTTCCATATCACACAGGGAATGCTGGGATTGATTTTGGGGGTAATTGCCTCAAAATATTAGAAATCAGGGGCCCAAAAAGGGGCAAAAAACAAGCATTTTTCTAGTTTCAAGATAATAACTTGTGTGTAAGTGTATGGATCTTTCTGAAATTGTACTACAAGGTTCCATATCACAAAGGGAAAGCTGGAATTGATTTTGGGGGTAATTGCCCAAAACGTTTAGGAATAAGGGGCCAAAAAGGGGCCAAAAATAAGCATTTTTCTAGTTTCCAGACAATAACTTGTGTTCAAGTGTATGGATCTCTCTGAAATTGTACTGCAAGGTACCATACCACAAAGGGAAGGCTGGGATTGAGTTTGAGGGTGATGAATCATAAGGGGGTTCAAAAAATTTGGGGGGGGGGGGGGGGGATTTTTTTTCTTTTCTTTTAAAATTTTCCATTTTATGTTGGTTATTTCTGTTTTATATTTAAAAGCAAATAATAATGATATGGTAGGAGATACACACCAAACAGGATGTGTAAATTATTATAAAATAAGTATTGTGCAATAGCAAGAAACTTTCAATTGCACAGTATTGCACAATAGCAAGAAATCTTCAATTGCACAGTATTGCGCAATAGCAAGAAATCTTCAATTGCACAGTATTGTGCAATAGCAAGAAATATCCAATAGCACAATATTGCGCAATAGCAAGAGATTGTCAATTGTACAGTATTGCGCAATAGCAAGAAATATTCAATTGCACAGTATTGTGCAAAAGAAGATACTTCATATAAATTGCTTATTTCTTGACCAATTTCAATGGGGTTTTATTCTTGAATTCTTGGGGTTCTTTAATATGCTGATTCTAACCGTGTATTAAGTTTTTGGATTTTGGGCCCCGTTTTTAAATTGGTCCACATTGAGGTCCAAAGGGTCCAAAATTAAACTTTGTTTGATTTCATCAAAAATTGAATTATTGGGGTTCTTTGATATGCCGAATCTAACCGTGTATTTAGATTCTTAATTTTTGGTTCTGTTTTCAAATTGGTCTACATTAAGGTCCAAAGGGTCCAAAATTAAACTTAGTTTGATTTTAACAAAAATTGAATTCTTAGGGTTCTTTGATATGCTGAATCTAAACATGTATTTAGATTTTTGATTATGGGCCCAGTTTTCAAGTTGGTCCAAATCGGGGTCCAAAATTAAACTTTGTTTGATTTCAACAAAAATTGAATATATGGGGTTCTTTGATATGCTGAATCTAACCATGTATTTAGATTTTTGATTTTTGGGCCCCATTATCAACTTTGTCCACATTGAGGTCAAAAGGGTCCAAAATTAAACTTTGTTTGATTTCATCAAAAATTGAATTCTTGGGGTTCTTTGATATGCTGAATCTAACCATGTATTTAGATTTTGGATATTGGACCATAATAGTTGAATGTCCAATTTAAAATTTTTAAGTTCTTAGACCACATTCATTCTGTGTCAGAAACCTATGCTGTGTCAAATATTTAATCACAATCTAAATTCAGAGCTGTATCAAGCTTGAATGTTGTGTCCATACTTGCCCCAACTGTTCAGGGTTTGACCTCTGCGGTCGTATCAAGCTGCGCCCTGCAGAGTATTTTATTTCATTTAATTTGAAAGCCAAATAAACTGAAATATGACTACAGTCCAAATATCCAAACTTCATGTATGCCAAGCTCTAAATCACCACATTAAAGTCTAAAAAATTGAATATATTTAATAGAAAATTTCAAAGATCCCATCAACAACAAAACAAAAATTACCCAATCAATAAATTTTATCACAATCTTCAAAAAAGGAAGTTCAATTATTTTTCATGGATAAATACCTTTCAAGTGATAAGATGCCATAAACAACCAAGTGAATAATAAGATTTATATAGGCCAATTTTAAACTTTCTCTTCTTTTATCTTTTAAGTGTCAAATTTATAGCCTGTCCTACAAACTGTATAAATATTTTATCTGTGTGTACCATATCTGCATCCATAAGTGGTTTCCAAATATTTCCTCAATATATAGACTTAATATTTGACATGTAAAAACTATCAAAAAGTCATATTTTATTGAAAGAATTATTTTTGTAAATCCAGATTTTCTGTACAAAGCACGGAATTGAGTTTAATTGTGTTTTCCTAGTTGAATATATTTTTGGATTTTGGCACTTGAGTTTTACACTCAAAATGTGTAACAGTTACAATTAGAGAATTTTGATTTTAAATGAATGTTAAATCTTAATAGGATAAATGGGCTTAAGTTTATTTCAACAAAATGCCAATATATCATCATGAGGATTATTGTCAAGGAGATTTTAAAGTGTTCAGTAAACAATGAAAAAGATATGAACTCTTATTTTATTCTTTTGGTGGGTATTTTTTTTTCACTTTATGTCTGAAGTAAAAATGTGCTGATGCCACAAGTACACTTACAGAAGTGGAGAAAATACAAGTTTTATGTATTTATTGTAGAAAAAAATGGAAAGTCTAGCATTTGTATTAACATTTACTTTAGTGTTTAAATATTATATCATTCTTTCTGTTTGATTTTGTTTCACAAAAAATGATTAACTACTTGATGAAATAAGATTTATTGAGACATTTTTTAAGGGGAGTTTTAAAAATGACTTGTTAAGTATTTGTATCAACTGTCACCTTTATGATCAAACAAAATTGTGCATAATCATGCAGAATGTCAATATTAGTGTAATTATATACTGTAGGTATCTTGAGTAAGAACTAGTATTTTAGGCTGTTTGAATAGGACATGCATTTTCTTTTTATTAACACATTGTGAAAGAACTCATGTAAACAAATGTTACAAGAAATTGACTATTGAAGCACAGTTAATGAGGTGAAAGTTCAGGGTATATACCATGTTAATTATAATATGTCATGCAAAGAAATTTGTAATATTTTGAGAGAAAAAATGATTCAATTTGAGTATTATTTGAAAGTATGTTTAAATAATGTGTAGGTGATAGGAAAAATCTGCAATTTATCAAAGTGAATGATTGGAGTATATGAATCAGGTTTAGCCAAATGAAGATATGTATTATATTCAGAAATATCTTCCAAAATAAATAAGAATTTTAATTGGTATGACAGTGTAATGTTGGGGTCCTGATTTGGGGTAAAAGAGGAGGAATATCAATTGTCACATCAGATGTATTTGTTAATGTGAAATTGTAGAAAACTGACTAGTTATAGTTATAGGAAACTCTGATAACAAAATATATGTCAGGCCTTAGTAGACGATATAGTGTTTGTTTTTAGGATTTGATTGATTAAGAGGGATTTACTCTAATCCCTAAGCATTGAATAATGGAGGAAATAGAAAAAGCCAGACAAGTTTGTTACACTAAGCATTATGTGAGTAAACGTCATTTCTACATTTCAGATGGAAACATGTCTATAAAAAGGCAGATTTATACCATATATTGGTCAGTTTCACTGGAGAGAATTCTGAAGGAGACCCTATTCATAGTCTGATAGTAGTGGAGGAAGAAGTTACAGGACTGGCTCTAACTGGACCAACTGTTGTAGAAATTAAAGGGTAAGTTATATATGAATAAGATGGGTCGACTAGTCAAATGATTGACATTGTCTCAATTTACTATTGTTAAATCAAATTGGTTAGTATCAGAATTCAATTGGGAACCAGAGCTGACATTGATCAGATTTACTGTTGTAAAATTCAATTGGACCAGAGCTGACATTGACTAAATTTACTGTTGTAAAATTAAATTGGACCAGAGCTGACATTGACTAAATTTACTGTTGTAAAATCAAATGGGAACCAGTGCTGACATAGACTAAATTTTCTGTTGTAAAATCAAATGGAACCATAGCTGACATTGACTAAATTTACTGTTGTAAAATCAAATGGGAACCAGTGCTGACATAGACTAAATTTACTGTTGTAAAATCAAATGGAACCAGAGCTGACATTGACTAAATTTACTGTTGTAAAATCAAATGGAACCAGAGCTGACATTGACTAAATTCACTGTTGTAAAATCAAATGGAACCAGAGCTGACATTGACTAAATTTACTGTTGTAAAATCAAATGGAACCAGAGCTGACATTGACTAAATTTACTGTTGTAAAATCAAAAGGGACCAGAGCTGACATTGACTGAAAATTTACTGTTGTAAAATCAAATGGGAACCAGTGCTGACATAGACTAAATTTACTGTTGTAAAATCAAATGGAACCAGAGCTGACATTGACTAAATTCACTGTTGTAAAATCAAATGGAACCAGAGCTGACATTGACTAAATTTACTGTTGTAAAATCAAATGGAACCAGAGCTGACATTGACTAAATTCACTGTTGTAAAATCAAATGGAACCAGAGCTGACATAGAGTAAATTCACTGTTGTAAAATCAAAAGGGACCAGAGCTGACATTGACTAAATTAACTGTTGTAAAATCAAATGGAACCAGAGCTGACATTGACTAAATTTACTGTTGTAAAATCAAATGGAACCAGAGCTGACATTGACTAAATTCACTGTTGTAAAATCAAATGGAAACAGAGCTGACATAGAGTAAATTCACTGTTGTAAAATCAAAAGGGACCAGAGCTGACATTGACTAAATTCACTGTTGTAAAATCAAATAATTTAAATAGGAACCAGACTGGATACACTATTGTAAAGTAGGTGAAAGTTCAGGGATTAAGATGATAGATATAGTTGTTGGAACTACTTTCCCCCTGCAGATTAAGGGATAATTCTTGTAAGCAAAGAAAAAGATTCCCTTACCTAACCTTGTTTTTTTAGCTGCCCAAACTTCAAATGGTTATTAACATGTATTTCTTTTAACTGCCTATGTTAATTTCTTTCATCCAAACTTGTTTTTTAGAGTAATCAAGGATAGTGAATGTGTTTGTTGGTGCTGTTTTATTCCCACATTTAGACGAGCCTAGATAAGCGTAAATCATTGATTCCAAAATAAGAAAAGTCTCTTCATTATTCACTATTATAATCTTATTGCAGTTCAAATCCTATGTTGCAATTCTTAAACACTGTTTTTTTATTGTTTACTCTGCTGTCACAGATATATTTTATCAGCTGCCATTTGCAATCTATGAATAAACACTGGACACTGACTCGGAAAGATCTTAATATGTACTCTAAGCATTGAAACTAATTATTGTTATCAATGTCCGCAATTGTCAAGTATTAATTTTGTAATCGATTATTAGCATTTCAACCACCATCGATCAAAGGCGACAATCATTTCATCACTTTTAACAGGTGAGAAAAAGCCCTTAGTGATAAGAAAACAGTTGTGCGATGGTTAGATGCATGGCCAGTCACATAGGAATTTCTTGGGAAGGAACATTTCAGATTTTTCACTTGCAATTTAAAAGTAAAGAGATGTGGTTTGACTGCAAATGAGATATCTATCCCCCAAATGAGGTGGATGTCCCCAACTGTAGGCCACTGTACAGCCTTCAACAATGAACAAAACCCATACTGTATAGTCAGTTAGAAAAGGCCCAGACATGGCAAAATGTGAAACAAATGAAACAAGAATACCAGCTGCCTGATTTATGAAAAACCAATTAATGTAAAATTAATATGACAGACAGCAACCAAAGACAACCACCGAATAACAAGCTCCTGACTTGGTACAGGCACATAAATTAAATGCCACATGTGGTATTAAAAATATGTGAAAAATGTGTGGATGGCTTTTTTTCTGATGTAGAAAGGATTTAAATGTATGTGGCCAGGCTCCAGGCAATGTCTCAAGACATTGTATTGAATGATATAGAGAAGCAAGAAAGTTTGACTTGAGATAATTGTAAAACAGAGTATTTTACTTTCCATAGTGATAAATCATTGAAAGAAGAATAGATAGATTTGCCAATTATCTGACAAGTAAGAGATAGAACACATGAAATCCAAGCCTTGTAGTCTTGTTACTAAAGCGATAATAAAATTCTTCTTTAAAGTTTTTTTGACAACTGTCTGATTAAAGTCTGTAAATTTTGCAGCTTTGCTTACATGTGGTTAATGTTATATTAGTATTATTGTAGGTTTACCAAAATTTGGCTGATATTGAAATAATTCATCTGAATAATGTTTTATAGGAAAAAGCATTTCTTTTTGAAGAATAATGCTGTACATTTTATAATGCAATTTAATGTTACCCACTTTCTTGTTAATGGTTGATTCTTTTAAAGTTAAATCAAGAATTGTTTTATAAAATATCATTCATTTAAACCAAAATTCCTCAGATGAAATGAGTAAACTGTTTCATCTGCCTATAGCTCAATAAAATTCAAATCAAAACTTGCATTTCATGTTTTCGGTTTAAAAAGCATGACATTCAACACTTTGTATTAATTTATTTAATGGAAAAATGATTCAAGCACATTCTTTTCGTAGGTATAATGAATAACATAATAAAAACCTTCCTGATAATGTTGAAAACTTTTTAGCTCACCTGGCTCAATGGGCCAAATGAGCTTTTCTCATCACTTGGTGTCAGTCATCCGTCATCGTTGTCCGTTAACTTTTACAAAAATGTTCTCCTCTGAAACTACTGGACTAAATTTAACCAAACTTGGCATCAATCATCATTGGGGATCTAGTTTAAAGAAATGTGTCTAATGACCCCACCTGCCTACCAAGATGGCTGACATGGCTAAAAATAGAACATAGTTGGTAAAATGCAAGTTTTGTCTATTATTTTGAAAACCGTTATAAATAGAGAAATTCTGACAGGGGGCAAAAAATGTTCCCAATGTTGAGCTCTACCAATTGGCAATTTATGTCAAAACAGTCAGGGGACTTCTTATAGGAGTTTTTGCCCGGAGATGACATTTTACCATTTTTAGCTCACCTGGCCCGAAGGGCCAAGTGAGCTTTTCTCATCACTTGGCATCCGGCGTCCGTCTTCGTTGTCGTTAACTTTTAACATTTTGAACTTCTTCTAGAGAACCACTGAATGAAATGAAACCAAACATGGCATGAATGTTCCTTATGAGGTGCTGACCAAGTGTTGCTATTTTGAAGTCGATCCATCATCCAAGATGGCCGCCAGAGAGGGACTTAGTTTAACAGAGGACCCTATGGGAAATACATACAAATGTCTTCTTTTAGAGAATCACTAAATGGAATGAAAAAAAACATGGCATGAATGTTCCTTATGAGGTGCTGACCAAATGTTGTAACTTTGTAGCCGATCCATCATCCAAGATGGCCGCCAGCAGGGGACTTCGTTTAACATAGGACCCTATGGACAATACATACAAATGTCTTCTTTTAGAGAACCACTGAATGGAATTAAACCAAACATGGCATGAATGTTCCTAATGAGGTGCTGGCCAAGTGTTGTTACTTTGTAGCCAATCAATCAACCAAGATGGCTGCCAACGGGGGACTTAGTTTAACAAAGGACCCTATGGGAAATATATACAATGGATTAATGGATTGAAGCCAAACATGGTATGAATGTTTCTTTTGAGGTGCTGACCAAGTGTTGTTACTTTGTAGCTGATTTGTCATCCAAGATGGCTGCCATTAGGGGGATTAAGTTTAACATAGGACCCTATGGGAAATACAAATAAATGTTTTCTTCTAGAGAACCACTGAATAGAATGAAACCAAATATGGCAGTTTTGCCTTCTATGATAAAAATTATAATAGATAAATAGAAACTTTAAATAAAAAAAATTATCAGCAAGGCAAGATCTACAATGAAGTCAAATTTTGCCCATATAGTTAGTAGACTGTCACTCTTTATAGGAGTGATTGACCTTAAATGAGGATTTTTTTTTTTTACCTTTTTTGTGTTTTGAGCAAAACCTAGTAGATAGAGAGAAATTAAACAGACAAAACGATCAGCAATAGCAATACAAGATCAACAAAAAAGAGATTTTTGTCATGAATTCTATTCTCATCTACACTGTTGGAGAGTGTCTTTTTTGTTGAATGTTCACATAGACCTAGGTGAGCGACACACTCTCTTTAGAGCATCTAGTTTGTTTTTATTGTTGTTAAGGGGGATGGAAGAAGTGGGAGGTGTCAAAATGTTAACCAATGACTAGTAACTAGATAGTTAGCAAATGACAATGTTTTACGAAAAATGAATTTAACCTATTGTTATATAGTATGACTGACTCTGCAAATATTTCTTTGTGATTGCATATGTGTTAAATGGATAATAAATATAAGTAACTACTACTATGCCAAGTCATGTTTACTGCTAATTATTAAAATACTTATTTTGATATATGACTTTATAATTCTGACATATGAAAGAAATTCAATATAAGATGGAAACAAGGGTCACACGAAAGGTAAAGCTATGTTTTAGAACATATCTTTAGGACATGATGTTTCCTTGCACTTGATGACTTTGCATAATTAATCTACATATAACTTTTGACTGGTACAACCTTTTTTGACACTACCGGTAGTAAGTGGCATCAGACACAAACATTTATATGAGATTAGAAAAATTCCCTTTTGACTTTATGATGGTATGTGTACTCAATGTGTGTAGTTTCAATTTGGGCATATCATAACAATTA